TCTCTAATATACTGCAAATTGCAACAAAAGCAAGAGAGAATTTCTACGGTTGTTTCAATAATAATTCAGTGTCCCAAAGGAGATGTTGTGATACTTACAAATCGCATGGAAATTGTGCTAGTCGAATTTAGTTAATTTCCTTCTTTCCATATTTATCTTAAGCGATAAATAAAATAACATAACGAGCAATGTTACAAAATTTAAATAAAATCCAAAAAATTGTAACTCAAATGTATATTATTTTTTAGATGAGTGGATCCCATTAATTTTTTTCAGTGGGACCCTCTCATCTCACACTCATCTAAAGTATGATATACATTTTGATTTTAATTTTTAAATTTTATTTGAATTATTTACAATTTTTCATAACCATATTATCCTTTCCACCATGGCAAAAACCTTTCTATCCTGAGAAAATTTTGTATGTTTGTAGCACACCATTTAGCAATTTTCGCCGGTGTGCACAATCAATAATTAAAAAACTACACACAAGTTAGTTTTTTTATTAAAAAAAAAAAATCAGACAGTGATGAATCACAGCTTTTCTTGAGAATGTACAACTTATTATTGGCTATATACACCACCTACCCCTTCCAGTAATGAGTTAAACCCACAAAAATTTATCCCCCATGTTAAAGCAAAAGTCGGTGCACAAGCAAATTAATAAAAGAGCAATGCTATGAAATTTGCATTCCAAATCAAGGAAGATCAGTGGGTCTCATTTAAAAAAATTAATGGAACCCACTCATCCAATGGTCCCCTTTATTTAAGTTGAAAATTTGAGTTATAAATCTGAGATACATAGCATTTTCTTTAATAAAATGAGAAGTATTCAAAATTGTACATCAATGTAAATTCCCAATGGACAAAATTATAATTAATTTGCCTAGTGTACCAATGTCAGATGAAGAGAAAAGAGAGTTAGAGTACACCTAGCCGATCATATAATGATTAGTTAAAGTATGTATAAATTGATTCTTATAATTTTGTTCGTTGAATCAAAAATAAAAGATAAAGAGAAAAAGAGAGTTAAGAGTACAAAAAAATGGTTTAAGATTGCCTGATGTCAACATATCCAAATCCAAACTCAAGTTAGAAAATCCGAACCAAATTTGAATAGATTATTCTACGAATTTGGGTTTTACAATCTAACATAATTATAACCGCGTTAGATCTCTTCCACAATTTAACTCAATTTGATCAAATAATGTCGGATTTTATGGCGTAACTATGTAAGATTCAGTTGAAACTTGATATTAATATATTCAATTGAGAATAAATTCTTTACAATGTGAATCAGATTGTTTAAGAACAATCAATCAAAATTTAATAACTACACAAGCTTATCGAAAATCCTTAACATTAGTTTGTGTATTTGTATAATTGTCAAATTTTGATTGACTGTTTGTAAATAATTAGTTCACAGCTAATCTCTATTCAAATTCAATCAATATAGAATTAATTCTAATTTAAATAATCGATCAAGTAAAAAACATCAATTCATCTCTATTAAATCGGATTCAAGCCAAATGATTAACAACCCCTCTAACAAAAATGATTAACAACCCACATCAAATGAAAAAAAAAAAAATCAAACGAAGTCTTTAATAAAAGCCATAATGGCAGCGGCTCTCCTAGTGTCAATCATATCGATCATATGAAACCCAACATCATCAAACCGAGCTTCAACCATCACTCCTTCAAGAACCAACATCTGAACAAAATCTTGTTGCCGATCAATCAGAGGATCGCCGCCGAACCCAATCACCAAACACCTCCCCAGATGTCTGATCTTCTCTTTGTTTGCACCATCCAACATCGGATTACAGAATCTATGGTCTCTATCAGTCCCCGGCGGCAATGCAAGCTCCCACAGAACATCAATGGCTGGCAAAGGAAAATACTGATCTGTTGCAAGCTTTAACTCCGATTTTGTTCGTTGTTTGCCTCCGAAAAATGGTTGGTTTAGAATAAGACCAGAAATTCTAACTGGGTCTAGTTTGAGATCTTGGATTTTTAATGCAGTGTTGAAGGCAATATTGGCTCCACAACTGGTTCCATATAGGTAACATCTTGAGAAATCTGCATAATCTCTGAGCCATTGGTCACCATTTGGGTCCAAAGCTTGTTGTGTAACCCAGTTAATGGCATCAATGGCGTCGTCGTACTGCGCCGGAAGACGATTTTCTGGTGCAAGACGGTATTCGACAGCGATGACTATGGCTGGCACTTCACAGGAGAGTTGGCTGTAGTTCTCATGGACCATGAAATCGGTGACACTGAAGTAAATCCATCCGCCGCCGTGGAAGGAGATTAAGATCGGAAGCCGAGCGACGGAGTTATCATTTGAGGGCAGTTTGGTCGGTCGGAAAATTCGGATGAAGGTTTTATTGTTGGCGTTGAGTATGACATCTTTGCTGATGACGGTTTGGCCGGGAAGAGGGTCGACATCGCCGGTAGGTGGAACGGCTGGAATGTTGAGAAGGCGAGTGACCGACCCGTCGGGGTTGAGGGAGATGTTAAGGTGTTGGTAAGGGTCGAATTTTGACATTTTAGGATTCAACACACCCTTGAAAATAATTATAATAATGTTGGAAGGAGATTAGGGTTTGTGAGTATTGTTGGTTTTTTTTTTTTTTGTGTCATTAAAAAAAAAAAAAAAACCATGCAAGGAGCTATTTTGTTGGGGATGTAAAGGGATATCCTTAACTATCGGATAGGTAAAGTTTGGGAGACCATAAGATTTGGTTTTGTTGACTTTGACTGATTCTCGATAGGCACCTCCTTGTAATATGTGAAAGGAGTTGTGGATTTTAGCCAAAGAATTTTTTTTTTTTTTGGTTGGAAATTTATTAAAAAAGGAAGATGACGAGATTTAAACTCGTGACTCAAGATTTGAGTACAATATTTATTTTTATTTTATTTTATTTTTTTGATGAAATATGCATACGTTAGTTCCACTTGAAGTCGTAATAAAAGACAAACTAAAAAAATTGTGAAAAAAAATAATAATGCTATATATGCAGAGAAATGACTATAAATATTAATGGATATGTATATAGGACAATATCGCAATATAAGAATATTACTTGAGGTTAATCATTTGATTTCATTTGTTGCTTTAATCCGCTGTTATGATGTTTGGGATAAGGGGAATGTCTCAATATTAAATGGAATGTAGTGACAATAAATATATTAGATCAGCAAAATAAGTGAGACGATTAGAATTATAAATATAGTATTATTGATGGCAATGATTGTTGATTACTAAAGGAAAATTTTTGACCAAATAATTCTTTTTTTCTTTCTTTTCTATAGAAAAAATAGACTATAAAGGCTTGTTGAATTGTCGTATAGTAAAAGAGATGATTGTATCGGTTAATAAACTAAGATAAATATAATACTTATTGTAATCTAATGTTTGCTAAGACATTGGATGAGAGTTGAAAAATATAGTATTAATTACATATTGACCAAAATTCCATCAATCTAATCTAGTTATGCATACTTTTATTTAGTTGGTGGGCAAAATAATAAAATATAACTTAATATGATTTTACTATATTATAACACTATATTTTCAGATAGAACGGATTATCAGTATATATATTTTATATGTATGTAAAATAAGATTAGATATAATACAGAGTATTTTTAACAACCAAACGCAATAAAAGGTTGAATTAAAGAGTTTTAATTTATTATGATTCTTTAATACACACTTTAACTAAAGAGTTTTAAAATATTCAAGAAATCGTTACTGATGTTCAATCAAATTCAACTGGGAGATTGTGTGAAAATCTTATAAAATAATGCACACTTAAAAAATTTCTTTACTGTATAATTGGAATCTCACTCGTATCTTCTAATTTTTCAATCATGTCGAAACCTTAAATGAAAAACCCAAACAAAAATATTGGTTTTCCATCACAGAAGGAAACAAATATTTATATTTTTTATGCTTTTTTAGTTGATAAGAATGATGAAAAGTCTAAATGATACAATTTTTGATCACTTGAATTAGAGAAAAAGAGAGAGGAGAAGAAAAAACATGCAAATTTAATAATTTGCAATAAGTGGTTGGTTCGATCATCCCTTAATCTAATTCAAACATCAATAGTAAAAAAGTTGTTTTATCTAGGCCCGTAAATAGATCAGATTTCAATCTGAATCTAATTTGAATCTGTTTAATCAAATACGTACCGAGATTTTCATCCGATTATCCAAATTCGATTCGAATCCATCTAGATATCTTAAATCGACTATTGATATATATATATATATATATATATATATATATATATATATATATATATATATAAAATTTTATTAAAATTCAATCCGGTTAAAATATACATGTAATAACGATCCTGATAGGCCTAGTGTCATCCCCTTAATCTATGTTCACTTATTTAATTTTAAGCTAAAGTCTCCACTAATCAATCTGGGTTTTGTCGGTTGATTACATGGGAATTACTCCAACTCGTAGACTTTCTTGTTATAATAACCTACCTATCTCTGTCAAAAAAAAAAAAAACTAAAAAGACAATTTTAACCCCAAGTTTCAAGTCAACTCCAACTTTTATATCAGATTTTCTAGGTTTACAAAAAATCTCCTAGGATTTGTTTGTAATCTTAAAAGCTAGTAAATCCCCCTAGACAATTCCGAATCCTACTTAAAGGACAATGACATTGACGAAGACAATAAAAAGCAAAGCTTCAACATCATAATGGAAACTGATTTTCCTTATGTTTGAAACAAACACAAACTGGGTGGTTAAGTTTAACATCATAAAGAAAGCAAACCAACAGTATCATCTTGTCAAGTTACAACAAATTCAACAAGTTCTGCTTAACATGTTATACCCATACCCATACCCATACCCATACCCATATTCATACACACTCTGTGTGTGTGTGAGAGAGAGAGAGAGTCTTGAAAACCCAGAAATCATAATACCCACATAAAGCTGATAGTATAGTGATATGGCCGTTGACTCTTAAATTGAGTGAACAAACTGCTGGACATTATTATAAAAAGTTTGAACTCTTACGGGATCAAAGAGATCTACACCATGGTGGCCTCCATCTTCAAAACACGCCACCACGTCAACACCACGCGCCACCATCAAGTCCACAAACTCTCTCTGCCGGTCAATAAGTGGATCACCACCACTTCCCCTAACCAAACACCTGCATAATTCTCCGATCTTCTTCTTGTGAAACTCACCAATATTCAATGGATTACAGTACTCATGATCACGATCAGCATCGTTCGGCAATGCCAAGGACCACATCAGATCGGTCAGAGCCATATTCAATACCGGATCATCGGTCAATCTCGTCTCCGATTCAGTCCTCTTCACCCCACCAAAGAATGGCTGGTTCATGATCAGACCCATGATTTTCACCGGAGAAAGATCAATGTCCAGTGCACGTAGAGCAGCATGGTAAATTATGTTGCCACCTGAGCTACCACCCATCAAGAACACCCTAGAAAAGTCAGCAAAATCTTTCAACCAAGCATCACAAATGTTCATATCTAGTGCCTGGTCTCGGACCCACATGATTGCATCCATGGCATCGTCGTAAGCTGCCGGAAGGCGGTGTTCCGGTGCAAGACGGTACTCGACAGAGAGAATCAGAGCTGGGACTTGAACGGTCATGTCATTGCATGATTCATGAAAAGGTTGAGATGTTGCACTGAAAAGTACGAAACCACCTGCGTGAAAGAATATAATGATTGGGAGTTTAGTATTTGGAGGAAGATTGGAAGGTCGAAAGATGCGAATGAAGGTGTTGGTGGTAGGGTTAAGAGGTATGTCTTTGGAGAGGGCGTGTTGGGTTGAGTTAGAATCGTTGGTGGTGGTGTTTTCTGGTGTTGGAGGTAGCTTGGGGAAGGCTTCGATTCGAGTAAACGAGCCGTCATGATTTGGGAAAAGGAAATCAGGCCCGGAAACCGTGGAGGACTTCCCCGGGGACAGTGGCTCAGCCATAGTTGGTTGGAGAGAGAAGAAAGAAGCGGGGGCGGGGGATGATAGAGGATTAAATGAGCAGTAATGAGAGACTGCCAATTGAAAGGCTGGTAGGTTGGACTCTATAGTGTCCAAGTATATTGGTATCTAATTTGAGGATTCGACTGCCTACCGAAATTTATTATATTTATGGGTATTTTTATTATATTTATTTATTAATTATTATTTGTGCATAAAGGTAAAAAATAATAAAAAATAAAAAATATATTTATATTAATATTCAAAATTACAAATTACAAATATAAAAAATAAATAAAAAAATTTAAGCATTGATTTGTAATAGGGGTGAGAGGTGATGAACAATAGTAGTAATGGTAGAAGACGGTAATGGTTGTGATAGGTGGCAATGACTATGATTGCAGTGGTAGCGACGGTAATGGTGGTGGTGGCGACAGCGATGGTGGTTGTGACGACGACAACAGTGCTAGTGGTTGGGGCAGTGGTGGTGGTAGGGGTGGCGGTGGGGGCAGTGGTGGTGACAACGGTGGTAGTGGCGGTGGTGGCGACGACGACTATGTTGGTGGTGGTAGTAGAGGTAGTGATGAGACAGTTTCAAACACTATTTTTTTAAAAAAAATATTTATGAAAAATAATTTCTAAAAGTAATTTTAGAAAGTCATTTCAAACACACTCTCAGGGACCTATTTTTTATATTAAATTTAGGATGTTAATATTAACCGTTAGATTAACTTTAAAGTAAAATTTAAAGCGATCTCAACCGCGAATAGTAAAAGTCATTTTGTTTATCTTTTGAAATTTGAATTGTAAGATATTTTATTATATATATATATATATATTTTTATTATTGTAATACCTAAAAAAATAATAAAAATACCTACAACAAATAGTAAAAATATTCACAAATGTGATAAAAGTAAATACAAATAATTTTTTTATTCATAAGAAATATGGTAAAAATAATTATCACAAATATGATAAAAACTCCACAATTGTGATAAAAACACTTGTAAAGGTACTAAATCAACCACAAAAATAATGAATTCTTTGGTTGTAAATAACTCAAAAAAATTATAAAAATACCCTTTAAAATAATAAATTTTAGAGGTATGACACCAAAATTTTTTTGGCGATGCCATAGTCAAATCTCTAATTTGATCTTATTATTTATTGACTTAATTAATCCTTATTATTAAATTGAATTGACAGTGATTTCTAGATAGTTAAAATATGACACAATTCGTTAACACAATATGAGATTAGAGAATTTGGGTCTTCCTTAACACACTTGTTTCATAAACGAGTGAATGCAACATGATACAATTAATAAACGAATCAGGTATAAATAAAGTCAATCAAAATAAATACACGACCCGACTTATGTATATATTAGTTATATATGACACAAACTCGATATGACATAATTCATTAGACACGAATGAATATAACAATTGAGTATGAGTTAAGTATTTTTTGACATAAACCCACTAATATCCGACACGTGTGTACTCCCTTTACCCGACATGATTGACAAACCTAGTGAGTCCTTAACCGTACCCACTCTAAATTTGATGATCTTATTTATTGATTTAATCGGTCTCTTATTAAATGAGCAATGTTATAAGGACCAAATTAAAGACTTAATTCAGTGTAATTAGTAGATTAATTGAGAGTTCTAATGTTAAATAGAGCCCACCACTAATACAATTATTGTATTGAATTAAATTCCTAAATAAAATTTTTCTTAATGAATTGCAGCAAATCTTGATCATGAACCGTTTTGAATTCAATGTCAACCATACATTAAGTTAACTAATAAAATTAACAAACCATATATATATATATATATATATATATATATATATATATATATATATATATGACGGAAATAATAACCCAAGTCCAATTAATGAATTGCTACTTGGATCGATGAGTTTGATCGAATATATGGTTGATTGCAAATGAGGGAAGGCTCAAGACGTAAATGGTTCACCTTTGCTGGAAGACCAAGGCTACATCCATTTTAATGGAGTCTCTTGTTCCTTAAGTTCGTGTATTAGGATCAGGTGAGAATATCAAGATTGTAGGCACTGAGCCTTTACAGAGGCTTAAGCATTTGCTCGTTCCATATCCGAGGCAGAGGAATATCTTTTTTTTTTTTTTTTTGGGGAGGGGAAGGGGATGCCTTTTGGTAGGTTTACACTGTTTTATTTATATTAATCCTTCCTAGGGTTTTTGGTGGCTCCTTCTACCTTTTTGTTGATCCTGTAGGGACCTTTCGTCCTTGTCCTGCAAAATCCTATGTTAGCTGGCGCTACTGTGCCCACGATCTCTGGAACGTTACGAGCCACCATCTTTTGCGTCCGAGTGGATGTAACTGTCATAGGTTTTAAAGATGATCCCCTTTTCTATTGGATGTGTGGCATGGCGGGATGCTGTCAGGGCAAAGATTCGAACCCTCTTTCTCGAATAGTCCTTCGACTGGTACCAAATTGGGCGGGCTAAATTACTTGTCTTTTGGAGTCATTGGGTTTTACTCTTTCTGCTCTTGATGTGGGCTAACCAGAGGCACCCCTTTGAGCCAATAAGCCCTGTCTTTGAATTCTCAAAGTGCATTGGGCTCAGAGACTCTAGCGGCTCATTCCCAAATTTTCACCCTTATCAATATATTTATATAATAAAATAAGAGTGTGTTTGAATTTTATCCTAGTCATATTTTCCCTCTCAAAATCATCACCAATTACTTACCTTACATTATTCTTTTGTCAAACTCAAATGTTAAATCACATTACTTATTCTATCACATATTTAATTATTTATATATTTCCTACATAAAAATATCACATCACTTATTTCTATCATATATTTAATCATTTAATATTTGATTAATTTTTAGTTAAACTATATTTATAAAATTTAATATAGTGAGATTGATTTTTTGGACGCTCGAATTTTATATTTTTTCATGCCTGAAGGTACGAATTATGACTAGTATATATATATATAACGAGACGTCAACTACTTGGATTTCGATCCCATTTGGGCAATTTGGCTTATTGTACTAAGAAACCTAAGACAGGAATTGCTTCAAGCAGGGTCATTCAAAACTTATATTCTACGATAAACATTATAAATAGTATTTAAACTACCTGGGAAAGTGATGTGCTTACAAAAAAAAAAATAAAAAAATTTACCAAGTAAGCATAGTTAGATGCAGAATAGTAACATTCGTATTGTATTAGAATCTACACAACTTATACCTTAATTAAAATGGTATATAGTCAAGTTTGTCTCGTATTAAAATTTTATTGTGTGTAAGTCGTGCTAAATGGTTCATGTCATGTTTATTCGAGTTTATAACGATGGATTTATTTAATAAGACTAATGAATCCACCCGTTTATTATTTGATCCCATTAACTGTTAACTCAATCTCCATAATTCTGTGTTGATTTCGTGCTAAATGGGCCTACTTTAAAACTAACAGACATGACATACAATAACCAAACTTAACGACCTACTAATGATAGCATGATATGGACTTGCAGGCAATCTCTTCAAAGTGTAACAAAAAGGCAGAACAAACTCCACCTAATTTTGATGATAGAAAAATTCTAAAATAAGCAACTAACACGATCATAATTAGCATTAGGTAAACTCAACTGAACAAAGTCTTTTTCTCAATTAGTGTCAGCTGCGTGAATCCTACTTCTCTACTGTACACTGATTTTTGTTAAACCGTAAACTATGTATCCTTTTTACTATAATTTGCACCAGTTCAAAGGGTATTAATCTCTCTGCCATAATGACTTCCACCTAACTTGGGTATGGTAAACTGTTTGTTAAACCTTACGAAGCCTTTCAAAGGATTAGGTGTTTGTGCAAACATCAATACCAACTGCAGGATACAGAGAGCAATTTCTCTTATCAAGATTCTGTTGTTCATGTAGAGTAATAATTACCTCAAGAATGCAGCTAGTATCTTCCAAAAATCCATAACATCATCTTTTTCCTGCTCTGCTCCATGATATCAGCATTCATATTACCCTTCCCTGTTACAATGGTAGTATACACGACAAGTCGAAAACAAACAACCTAGGCAGGTTAAACAAGGAATTATCTTGCTCTTTCCATAATTAAGTATTGTAATTTTCAAGTGATTGATTTCCTGTCAATGGTTGACAAATTCACGAAGTCAGAAACAGAACTGCAATATGACAAATGTTTCTTGAGATAAGCAGAGATACGATGCTTTATTGCATTACCACTCCCAGGAGGACAGTTATGAGAGGACAATATTTAGAACAAAACATCTGAATACAACATGTTAACCCCTCCCCTTTTCTCTCCTTAATATCCTATGCTGATACTAGTTCTGGGTCTTGCCTAGTCCAAGGAAACCTAAAGCACTCAAATTCTGACAACAGTTAAGTGGTGTTTGAAATATGAGAAAAGCAAAACCTAAATCCCAAACCATAATTCAAATGCAGCCCTTCATCCTACTTTCTTAATAGAGTATTTGCTTCACTATTTTCTTCAAAAAAAAGGACCTAAGTTGACAACCCTAATTTCCTATGATATCATGTGTGACTGTATGCCTAAGAATTGTGCTATCGGACAAGAAGCCCCCAGTGAATGTTTCCTGGAGGCCCGACCTTCACGACTGTATAAGGATTGCTTGGATGGCCAGAGGTTTGGATTGACATCATCAAGCTTGGTTGGATAATGCATTGTTCAAGGGCAGATGGCACCTTCTGTGAGTCGCTGTCCTACTTGCGAGTTTAAAGAGCTTTTATGCCACCTTATCAGGTTTCCGTGCCCTCAAATAATGGCAACTCATGTGACTACATCCAGTATTAGAGCGATGATATATTTTGATACTATACGATGAAGGCTATAACCCTGTCTCATACGTATTGCCATGAGTATATCATACAATGCCTTCAAACTCTGCTGTTCGGTTAACATGAAGGGGGGAATAGCAGATTTTGGAGGCATTGCCCGAGATCAGAACCACAAATATGAATAATAAACCACATTAAACTACTAGTCACAGATAATGCTACTGATAAATGACTAGTAGCATGAACAAATTCAGTTCCATCTAGATTTGGGCATTGTCGTTTTTGCAAGCTGCTACATGACGCCATATTCAGCTGTAATACCATGCCTCAATCCTATATTCTACCATGGCAAACTCAGATGATCAAATATTATTACTAGAGAGAATAATTAACATAACCTCCAAGATTTTATAGAATCAAGAAGTGAATAAAAGGATGAAGGTCACATTAGACTCTGTGCTTCCTTTTCAATGTTTTCGAATATTTGAGACAAAACTATTTGGGACAAGAAGTGAACACAAAATTTTGCTTTTCTATGTATAATAGTTATCGAAGACATTTTAAATCCTATATAAAGGTGACAAGAAGCACCCAACAGAACTCAGTTCAACCTCTTTATGCAACTTTTCAACTTCAGAGATCATTTGGTTATTAAAAAAGGAAAAGAAATTGAGGACTTTAATTACAATATGAGCATCTAGAATGCTCCGAAATAGCTAGGACAAGGCTTTGTCAAATTAATTATGTAATTTTTTTTGGTACATTGGAAAGTTTAAATAGGGTAAGTTATACGGTCAAACAAAAAAATACTAGCTAAATCATTCTCCAGCAGATCCCCAATTGAGCACAGGCGTGTCTCTAACACAATTGATTACATATAACGGGTTGCAAAAATAGCCCGGAGTGCTTCCCTTTTTTAGCTCAGTATTTCTTTCATTTGCATTTGTGTATGTGCAGGTATATGTGTTTGTGCATGAGGGCATACACAACCTTACCTAACCATGTCTACACACATACACAACCATGCCTAAACATGCCTCGACACTTCCACATGTATATATAATCCTTCTGCAATAGACGAGGCCAGGAAAATATTGGTTCCCACACATTGATATCAATGTAACTTTAGAACAAAACTCACATACTTAGGCAGCAGACAACCAAAAATGCAAATAGGGGCCCAATCCGTTGGAAACCCATAAAGTAAGCTCATCAAAGTCCAAGGGCACTAAATTTGTTGATTAAGGTCGACTCAACACTCAAAAAGTGAGAGCAACTGTCAAAGATATATCCTTTATGCCTGGGATTCCTAGAATTTAACATTCTGTGGGAGCACAAGCTAAAGGGAGTCTGTGCCTTAATTATTACTGTTCTAAAAGATCATACTGAGATGAAGTTTTGTGGACCAAACCAAATATGCAAATAATCAAGTGAATAGCCAAGCTGAAATCGGGAAACATACAACTTTTTCTTTTTGATTTTCTCACAATTTCTACCAAAAAAAAAAAAGATACATAAAACGGTCTACAACAGTGCACTCTACTGTTTGTGAAATCGGAATCAAACATCTGACCAACTCACCGAGCCATTTTCCGGGACTTGAAAGGAAAGTTAGATGGTGGTGATGGTGAAAATTCAAACGGCAAGTGGGGTGGCTCAGCCTCACCAGAAAGCATCCCAACAATTTCTTTCATGGTCGGACGCTTGCTAGGTGACCTTTGCAAACAGAGAAGTGCAATTGTGATACAGAGCAATGCCTGTTCTCGATCCAACAACTGAATATTGGGATCGACAAGATCCAAGAGCCTCCCATTGTGGGCAAGTTGTCGAGCCCACGAAATCAGATTTGCCCTTTCAAATTCTGCCATTGGCGAGGCCGTTACTTGGAGTGGCCTTCGCCCAGAAACCAAAACCAATATCAGAACACCAAAACTATAAACATCACACCTCTCAGAGAGCTGCCCACCACCACCATACTCAGGGGCAATATAACAAACAGTTCCTCTCATACTAGGAGTACTACTAACACCACCGCTCTTGGGGATATCCCCACTAGCCCAATCTTGGCTATTCCTCCTGCCATTTCGAAACTCCCCACTGAAACCATCCAACCACCAATCAATGCTACCCTTACTACCCCTGCTCTTCCTCTTCTTTCTCTCAGGCACCACATCTTCATCTCTCTGCCACCATAATTCTCCACCATTATCAGATTTAGTCCCCCTTTTCTTCTTCTTCTTCGTCAATTCCTCGCAAAATTCCTCTTTCCACCACTCCCTTGGCTTCCTATTCTTCTTCTCCTTCTGAACTCGCTCCTCATCCAAAGAAGCCCACCACTCCAATTTCTTCATATGCTTCTTTGGCTCCATTTTGGTAGTCTCCTCCATTGCCCTCGATGTTTCAATCCAGTCCTTTTTGGGCCTTTCCTTCTTTATCTCACTCCCAATCCACTCCATCACATAATCTTTCACTCTCCCTGACTCTGATCCTCCATTACCATTGTCTTGTTTCCACCACCAATCCCTCCCAGAAAGACTTTTCTTCCTCCCAACCACCCTCCTATTCCCACTATCAACACTGGCCCTATCAAAACATCCCTCAGACACACTCGTCTTGTCCAAACCTCAGACGGAGATGCCTCCACCGCACCTATCTCTGGCGACACCGCCACCTCCCCTTCCAAAACCCTCACACAACAACTCTCCGGTGACTGATCTACATTCACCACCACTTCCTCTGTCATCACACTCTCTGTTTCCTCAATTATCGACCCGTTATCTTCCCCATTTCCACAACACATCTCGGAACCCTTTTTCCCCTTGTCAATTTGATTCTCCCCTATGTTAATGTACGTTTCAACAATGTCATCTCTTGTTAAAACTTGTGCTAACCCAAAATCTCCGATTTTGGCATTGAAATTACAATCCAATAGTATATTGGATGGCTTGACATCGCCATGAACTATTGGGGGATCACAAGAATGAAGATATTCAAGAGCTTTTGCAATAGCTATAGCAATTCCAAATCTTTTTTTCCAGTCCATTAGCTCTGGACACTTGCGATCTAACAATGCATCTTGGAGACTCCCATTATGCATGTACTCATATACTAGTAATAGTCTCCGGCGACGACGGTGACGATTACTACTACATCTTGTGCCATCGGAGGAGAATCCGAGGATGGACACCACGTGTGGGCAGCAAGTGGTGTCAATCCTCGAGGCAAGCGAGAGTTCATTGTGGAACTCTCGCTCTCCTTGGAGAGAGCCGGAAGCATCCATGAGCTTCACAGCTATCTCCAGCCCGGACGGGAGGATTCCTTTGTAGACGGAGCCGAACCCTCCCTGTCCGAGGCGGTTGGCTGCGGCAAACAACGACGTGGCACGGCGGAGTACGGAGTAGGAAAATCTTTGTGGAGTCTTCAGATCCGCAGGAGCTGTTCTTTTCCGGGACAGTTTACGGTAAATAATCGCAAACAAAACGAAGAATGCAAGGGCTATTGTGGCTGCAAGGATTGGAGGGATGAGGGGAAAGCGGTTGTGGAGGTGGCTGTGTGGGTGGTGGTTGGGTGGCGATGTGGTGGGGAAATCAGGGAGGGGTGGTTGTGGGCTGCTAGAGGACATTGTTGTGAATATAAGTGGGTAATGAGGGGTGGATGTTAGAGATGCATTTACAGAGATTTTGTTCGTAGAAAATGGATCTTGACGCAGACCAATCGGAGAAGATACGGTGTGTGTTTGTGTTTGTGTGTGTGTGTGTATACAATCTCTCTGCTTATCCTCCCGTCGTTCTCTTTTATCTCTCTCTTCTTCTATTCTCTGAGCTGAAAAGAGAGCCGTTTTGTTTAGTAGTGAGTCAAAGCTATTTTCACAGGGCTGTCACGTAAGTAGGTTGAAGCGGGGCCATATTTGAAGGTCAGATAAAATTTCGATTAAAATATTATCAACAGATTTATTTAATAATATATAAATAAATTGTATGTATATTTTTTTTTATTTGAAAAGCAAAATGGCTG